GTGTGTTTGACTCCTGCACAGCATGTGTGTTTGACTCCTGCACAGCATGTGTGTTTGACTCCTGTACAGCATGTGTGTTTGACTCCTGCACAGCATGTGTGTTCGACTCCTGCACAGCATGTGTGTTTGTAATGTGCTGTTTGCCTCACTTGCATATTGCTTTGGACTAAGATGTCTGCTAAAAATGTAAATGTAAAGAATTAGTTACTGTATTATTATTATAATGGTTCTCTGCCAAAAGTTTATCCAAAATTGTCAAGGTGGCACTCAGGCATCAGACGTCTTGCTGTCAGTTGACTGATCTGTTAGGAGAGCAGATGAAACAATCAGACACCGTATATGAAAAATAAAGATATATTTTTTACATGTAAAATGGATTATATGTTGCGTGTAATTTTCTTACACAAATCACCTCTATTAATATTGAATAGAATGGCAAAAAAATTTGTACAGTCTTGACTATAATATATATAGGAAACTTATATATGTTACATTGTACATATTTCTTGACACCTACCTGAGGACCAGCGATTTTCTGCATGAGTCACAGTGTAAAAGGTGTTCAGAATATGCACTGAAAATGAAATAAAACTATATGATAGTTAAATCTCTCCATAAACTCCAAATAGTCCAAAGGTCTGCTGCCCGGCTCCTCTCCCACACTCACTCCCACCAAGACATCACTCCCGTACTTCAGAGCCGTCACTGGCTCCCTGTAAATGAGCACATCCACTCTTCACCCACGCACCCCCCCCCCTTCCAAACTTCACGACTATCGTGCATTTTCCTGTTTGGCTCTCCAGCTCTGTAACTTCCTCCTTACTGGTATTTGTCTGTCGATCTTGGTCTCAGATTTCAAAATCAGGCTAAAAACCTTTTTGTTTGCTCAAGCCTATAACCTTCTCTATCCATAATATGTTTTGTCATTTTCTTATCTGTTTAATCTAATCTATGCTTCTGAGATCTTGAAAAGTGCTACATAAAGGGTTTAATAATAATAATAGTAAAGGCTTATATGTTATAAATTGCATAATTCAGACACTTGTGCCTTTCTGGTTAGAAGATTAGTTGCAGTTAAATTAGATTTAAATAAGTTATTTACTACTTTCCAATAAATACTATAAGTAATAGATATCTGAAGTTCTGTCAAAAGAATGTGGCACTCATTCAGCCTTATTTGAGCACCATTATGCAGGACTGGCAAGAAATCTTGAATGTAGCATATAGATTTCACAATTTCAGTTCAATGTGACCTCAGTAAATCTGCCAGTAGGCCTTCCAAGCTTTCAGAGTCTGAAAGGTTTTGAAAGTAGTTACAGTGCGCTTTTTGGGATTGTGGCTCTTTCATGTTTATGGTACTCCAATGAACACTGGCCACACCAATATCTGCTTACCTGAATTCCGAAATTCTACATTTGAGTAATAGGCCTCCTGGAGACTATCTTCATCTGTAGGGATAGAACAGATTCAATGTCACTAAACTGTATTGTTTTCATTGACTTTCAAAAGCTTCAGCTGCTGGCATGGTAACGCTTTGCAGTTGTGATATTGTAGTCAAAGCCACCCAAGTCATTGGGTGTCAGGTGAGATTTACCATTGTAACACTGGTTACCTTTTCAGGTTATTACTAAAATGCCAACAGATGTTGTATTTAAACAAGCACAAGGACAAGTCCTCCTGCCAAAACTGCAGACTATAGAATAGTTTATGTCCTCCTCATTAACTGGAACAATTTTTGGGGCTGGCACCTGTTGTGTCTGGAGAAGATCTACACTGTTTAATGTAGAACACTGATCCCACCGATGCTACGAAGATGCAGAACGCCAAGAGCAACACTATGGCAACTATGGTTCCAGTGCTTGCACTTTTACTGCTATATTCTTCATCTGTGACATCTGTCGAAGTGAAGGTCAACACAAGAACAGTCATTTAATGTTCTTCACACAATGCTATACCTAATATGCCATAATATACAATAAATACACATCAGTATTTTTGGATACCCAGTAGATATTATTAATAGCCTGGTGTACCAATATCAATTAGATGATAACACATTTCAGTAAAATCGTGATATTTTGTGCGTTAATCAGTTCAATGTGTTTATATACCTCTTTGATTCAGTGTCACAGTCGATGTCCCAAACGTTGCCGTCTCTTCTGATACAAAATCTGTGGTTCATGAAGAAAAGACAGACATTATAGTTCTGGCTAAAGTATTTCTGGCAAGACAAAGCATTCAATCCGGACAAACCGACGCACATAACACCCATCTGATGGTATCATTCTGTCAGCAGTATTTCTCTCAGTACTGACCAAGTATTTGCTCGCATGCGTATCATTATTTTGTCAGTAGTGTGCAGCACCTACATGGTTGCCTGGTAACACTGGTAACACTCACCTTTCACTTCAAGCCTCATTTCGTAGCACTGGGAGCTTCGGCCCAAAACCAGCTGACAGCGGTACCAGTTTCTGTCACCGTGCGTTAAGTTTGATATTATCAGTGATGCGTCTCCTGACCTGGGATCCATTTTGAATCTCAGTCGTCCTCGATTGGATTGTTCACTGGATGGAGGGTATTGTAAGAGAGAAGGATGCTTCTCTGCTAGGACCAGCTTCCAGGTGAGGTTTACTCTCTGGGTGTATTCTGAAGTATTTGGGAAAGTGCAAGGTAGAATAGCAGTGCCATTGGTCGGTGCCAGGACGGATCCTAAGGTCACACAATCTTAAAAAAAGAGAAAAGGTACGATATCCAAGTGAGACGACAGAACACAATCAATGTAACTGGCTAAAGACTAACAATAAGTTGCCTTTAGCCTGACGAGCCAAGACTATTGAATGATGAATGACCATATAGACAGTTTGTTAAAAAAAACTTCACCCGAAACTAGGCTTCTATTTCCGTTTAAAGAAATGTTTTCCCTTCATTGCTAGAAAAAGACTAGTATAGAGCACTTTCCTATCAGTATTAGATTATGGTGATGTAATATACTGTACATGCGACTTCATCTTATTTGAAACTAGATGTTTCATACAGCATTGAGATTTATAACTGGTACAACACCAATAACACATCACTGTAAGCTATATGAGATGGAGGAGTGGACATCATTACATCTTAGAAGGAAAATGCATTGCCTGGTTTTTATTGCAAAGGCTTTAATGGGCAGAATCAGAATCAGTTAAACTTCTCCTTCAGCCTCCCGTTGCAAGCACAGAACTGAGGAAATCTGCCTTTTGTTCTTATGCACCACATGAGTGTTTATATATTACAAAATATATTGAATTTAGACTCCTTGTCTTCTCTGAATGTGTTTAAAAATTTCTTTAACTTAAACTTTAAAGCTTTGAGAACAGTGTCATTGTTTCATATAAATTAATTTTATTCTATGTATTTTTGGAGAGTTTGAGTATTTGTATGTGTTTTTTGTTTGTGTTTATATTAATCATCTCTGTATGTATGTAAATGACATTTTTGTCTTGTTTTTCTTATTTGTTGCCATCTTGGCCAGAACTTCCTGGAAGAAGAGATATTTTATCTCAAGGGAACCTTCCTGGTAAAATAAAGGACTAATAAACAAATCAGAAGGCAAACATCAATGTCATTTTTCACCTTTGACTTTTAAGGTGACATTTCTGGTCATCACGCATTCCCAGCCATCCCAGGCAAGGCATCCATACAGCCCAGCGTCGGTCATATTGACATTCTTCAGTGTGAGAGATAGATTTCCAAGCTTCAAGCTGTCAATGTCCCATTTGTAATTAGGTAATGAAGTAGACGTTGGCCATAACAGGATGTCTTTGGGCGGGGTCATTCCTGGTGTATATTTTACCCATTTTATCCTGAAGCTGTGGACTTTACCAGGGGGAATTGTAAAAAAACAGGGCAGCTCTGCATTGTCCCCCAAAGTAGCCGATATCGTGAGTGAGGGGCTCACATTGCAGGCAAGCTTACCTTGAGAAAACAGAACAGAAACAGGCATGGGTGTTTTTGTAATTCGTGTTTTGCACTAAGTAATCCCATATTGATGTGCACTACAACGCGCGTATTTGATCTAACAAAACCACAAAACCACAAAAGCAAAATTAAAATTTGAATTGAAATTACTTCATTTTTAGTTACCAATAAAAAATAACCAGTGCCAGAAAGTTTTATGGTATATTGATATCCAGCAACATAGTTACAAAATATTTATACTTCATAAACAAACTATAAAACCCAGAAACTGATATCAAAGAAGTGCGTTTTTTTAAAGCTTCTTTTTCACTTCCTTATTTGTGGATACATTTTATTCATCATGATTAAGGAAAGATGAATAAAAATGTTTATGCCATTTTTTTAGAATTTCAGGTATGACTTGAATGAAAAACAAATTTCATTTATTTCTAATATACGGCTATTGTATACCTATATGCCTCTGGAGGACCTAATGTGCTGAATTTTGGGAAGAAGAAAAGCCCTCCTGTTTGCATGAAAAGTAAAAATATGCCAGGACACATACATTGTGTTTACAAAACCACAGTGGAATGTAACAGAAGCACGACAACTTCTAGAATAACAAACACCTCCGCAACTCCCAAAGCTACATATTGACCCTGTTTCTTGTCTGTCTGCTTTCTGTCTGTTAACTTTTGCAAACCCACTACAAAATCTGTCATATATAACACTGACTACTTTTAAAATACATACATTACAGTTAATATATTATACAATTAATATATCTATACTTCACAGTCACATAATGTCTTACACTGGAACACAGTTAGAATACATGACTCCAAATACAATTCTATAAAGGCATTTTACATACTTACTGTGACTTTGATAAAGAAGGGTGAGTATCAGATGAAAGCAGAAAGACATTAAAAGAGATGAGTATGACTTCATTTCCAAAGTTGCTATCTGAGCTGCCGGTGCCTCTGTATTTAGAGAGACCTTCTCATACTCTGCCACTTTCTTTGGAATCAGTTCCAAGGACACTTCTCAATTCTTTCAGCTTCTCTGCTTTCATTTTGAAATGAATTTTCTGTTAACCCATCAACTGCTTAAGGGTTAAAAGGCTGCAGAATCATACTCAATAGGCTTAGAAAACACTAGAAATGATAAGTAACTTTATATACTGACCATGGAGGTAAAAAAAATTAACAGAATGTTCTAGTTAAGTGCTGTACTTAAATATATTTAATATACATCCTTCCCCCCCATTTTCCATAAGTGCTTCAATTGGGTCAAGCCTAGAGCTTATTCCATGAAGATGGGATACCAGCCCACTGCCTTATGGTAAGTATGGTGAAGTTGTTTTGCAAAGATTGGAACAGTAAGCTAATCAGTAGCAGGGGGATCAGTAGCAGGGGGATCAGTATCAGGGGGAATCAGTAGCAGGGGGATCAGTAGCAGGGGGATCAGTATCAGGGGGAATCAGTAGCAGGGGCATCAGTAGCAGGGGCAGTCAGTAGCAGGGGGATCAGTAGCAGAGGGATCAGTAGCAGGAGGAATCAGTAGCAAGGGGGATCAGTAGCAGGGGGATCAGTAGCAGGGGCAGTCAGTAGCAGAGGGATCAGTAGCAGGGGGATCAGTAGCAGGGGAATCAGTAGCAGGGGGTAGCTGTGGCCCTAAGTACTGAAATTAAATTATGTTTTAATTGTCATTTGTACAATAGACTACAGGTACATTGGAATGTTTCTATTCACATGGCTCTCTTTGCAACACCCACACACACACACACATATCCTTTTGGGGACTGCTCATTAATTTCTATGGGAAAAATGCTAATGCTAACTATGACTCCTTTAAGCCCTACCCAGCCCTAACCATAACCATAAGTAACGAAACAAAATACGAGACTTTTGGCATTTTTAGTTTTTTGATTGAATTCTCAAATCTTTGTGGGGACATAAAAAATGGTCTCCTCAATGTCAAATTAAGAGGTTTTTATATATATATATATATATATATATATATATATATACACACACACACACACACACAATCACACACACACACATGCAGTTCAGGGAGAAGCTTGGGGTCTGAGCACTGGCTCAGCCATTTATCTGGTTTCCCTGGAGCATTTCTCTGGCTGCTGCTCAAGGGCCCATCAGTGATGTCATTGTTCAGCCAAGCAGGACATTGAAACTGGCAACCTAGTTTGCCATAATTGCAGCACATATTTCATTAGCAATATAGCTACGTTTGAATGTTTTTATGTTAAGGAGCAGTGTTTCCCAACCCAGTCCTCAGAGACTGCCAGACAGTCCACATTTTTGCTCCTTCTTAGCCCCCAAAAAACAGGTATTCAATACTCAGGTATTTTCCTGATTAGCTAGGAGATGGGAGGGAGCAGACTGTCTGGGAGTCTCTAAGGATGGGGTTGAAACAATTTTGAAACAATTTTAAAAGTTAATTTATGCAAATATATGCAAACATTTATAACAAACATGGTTATATTCACAATCAAACCCTGAGTCACCAATTAGCCTAAATACCTGTCTTTGGACAGTGTGAGCAAACCTGGAAAACATGGGGAGAAAATCCACACTATGCACATACTGTACACAGAGCAGGGGGTGGGACTGGACCACTAGTGTGGAAAGTGTGAGGCTGCAGCAGTTCTCGGGAACCACCAGGCAGTCCATGTTTTTGCTCCCTACTGTGAGCTGGGAGGGAGAAAAAATGTGGACTGGGTTAGGAAACACTGCTCTAGGTCATGGTGGCACCTTACTCATTTAGATTTAAGAACAACTTTGAGGCACAGGGCTTGTTTATGTGGACCACTTACGCGTATTAACAAGAAATAAAGGTTTCTTTTTTGTCTGTTTGATGTCATAGTTATTCGCTTCCTCTGTGCATGAGGAAGTGCTAAACAAGGTCTACATGCACTTTTATATTTTCACACATACCCCCAAAATAGCCTTTTAAAATGCAACGTTTACATATTTCTTGTAGGTTTGAATCTCTGCATGTGTGTTTATGCATTTAAGTTGGTTTTTGGTGATTTTATCTGACTGTTGTATTTCTGCTCCCTGTCCGCTCTGACTATGTAGAAGGGCGGGCTTGACTACTGACCACATACATATTGTCACATACACTTCCTCTATCTCGCTTTCAGTATCTCCTCACAACAGACATATTCTTACTATAAGTGTTTAACTCTGGTCTTGTTTCTGTTAAGTTCCTCTGTTCAAATCTCCTCATCAAAGGACGCTGACATGGATAAGCAGGGTAAATTTCATTTAATTACATCATATTTTATCATGCTATACATCTTGACTCACTGAGCTGTTATTTCTTGATGTCTATTTCCTTATACTATGCAATTAATGAAAATACATGTTGACTTTAGCTACCATTTCTGCATTTATTAGAAATACTAGCAGTTATAAAAAGGTTAAAAAAAATCTTTATTGTTCAAAAAGAATAACATTGATAATGGTGTGTCTTAATGGCAGAGAATTGCTTTGGGGATTCTACACAGATAAAAATATCTGAGGGTCTAATCCCACGTTCAGCGTACCAGCATGAAATTAAATGTTAATGTGGGTGTTTTTCGGAACCAGCAAGTCATTTTTTCAGTTCATGTTTTTGTTTTTCTGTATCTTAAATTTATGAAGCATGTGTGTAACTTTAACATTGGAATCCTGGGCCTATCCCAGGCTGCAAAGGGCTGAAGGCAGGGGTACACCCTGGCATGCATGCCAGTCCGTCACAGGGCACACACACACACACTCTCTCACACACACACACACACACACACGCACACACGCTCTCACACACACACACACACATACACACTCACACATTATACATTAAAGGCAGTTTACAGACACCAATTAACCATAATGCACTGGACTATTAAAATAACAGAAAATATAATAATCAGTGGAATAAAAAAAAGAGGTTTACACCTTTTAAAATATCAAAACCCCATTCAAACCTCAGTCGTCATTACCAGTATTGCCGCAGTTTTGCATGGTTTCCCTTACACCCTGCAATGATCCTAAGAGGCATTGTTTTACTTTGTTTAAGGTGGAAAAGCTTTTGGTCTTTTGAAATCCAAACAAGAAGATAAACTGAATGCAGTTAATGAGGTTTGTATCTGCCTCCCCATTCACCTGTATTAATGTATCTGCCTGAACACTCGCTGAATGAAGATCATCACTTCAAAGACTGCTGTTTGATCCACAGCTACCCTCATGCATACATCTCGTAACAAGAGTGTTTAAATTAGAAACTATGTGGCTAAAAAAAATGCAGAGGCTTATTTATAAGAGGTTTGAAGATGTTTTAGTTTAAACAAGCGCTTGATTCGTGTTGTCACTGAACATAGTCTCTGAAGAAACTATTTAATAAACATGAGTTTAATATGGACAACCTTTTACTGCATAAGACATTGGTTGCTAAGATAAAGCCATTGTTGTATCAATGTTTCTTTGTTTCCTCAAAGTCATTTCTTAGTGATTCCAAATATGCAGAGGTGGAAGATCTAAGCTCAAAACTGGAATCCTTTAAAAGTAAGTTACAGACCCTTGAATAGAACATCATTTACAGGCTGACACTGAAGCAAAATTCAGATTATTAAAGTGGAGGTGTACTCAAAGAGATTCTTTCATTATACAGCTTTCACTGGAAAACTTCCAGTATCTTCCTAAAGGTTCCACATCACCCCCCAAGACTCCAGATCACTCAGCTTGATCACTATGTCACCCTCCATCCGTGGTCTTTATGGTTTCTGCAAGCCATTGTTAGATTGTTAGAAATATAACAGGAAACAGAAAGTAATGCAGCAGCAAAGAATTCATTCAAGGGACAAATGGAGAGCAATTTAGTGTATTAATGCATCGGTATTGCTGTTACCATAACATTTGTTTATTTCATTTTCAGATAAGTATATGGAGTTCGATCTAACCGATGACGGAGAGATAGGTATCAATAATACTTTGACTAATTTGAGTTGATGTATGCAGTCCCACAAAACTCTTTCATAAGTTCACTTTTTTAATAATAAGTTTTGAAACACATATTAGTTACAATAAAAGCACAGTTCAAAGTTACTTCAGTACATTATGAATTGTATATTTGAATTTTTATTTATATATGCGATCACATCTTTTAACGAATTCTGTACATTTGTACTAATAAACAACAGATATGAGAAACATTAAGATTATAGCAAGGTAACATTTCATTTAAACCAAGCTTAATAAATGTATTTTTTTATGTGAGATATGATGGGGCTGAAGCGAATGCTGGAGAAGCTGGGAGTAGCGAAAACTCACCTGGAGCTGAAGAAGATGATCTCGGAGGTGGTGGGCGGAGCCTCACGAGACACTATCGGCTACACAGACTTTCTGATGATGATGCTGGGCAAGAGGAACGCCATACTCAGGCTGTGAGCGTGCACTGTATTCTCCTCAACGCTTACTAATGTCATCTCCGTACAGTGAAATCAGTCAGAGGCATTTTCTCTAAAATTAATTTTCTTTGACAGGATCTTAATGTTTGAGGACAAGGCCAAGGAACAGGAGTGCAAGGACACTGGACCTCCTCCACGGAAGACCTTTTCTGACCTTCCTTAAAGTCAACCGCGATTACATTATAACCAACTACCCAGCTTAAAACAGACTAAGTTAAAACGATAACAAAAACAAAAATGTTTTAATCTCATCATTACTTGTATGTATTTGCCATAAATACAAATGCAGAGAAAGGATGTGAAAGACGATGTTTTCACAAACATTCACAAATACTTGTGAAATGTATATCAGCATAACAAGGTTTGGTTTCCTACAATCAAACAAAGTACAGCTGTCTGGCCTCACATTTAATAAATTCTTCTGCCAGCAACTAATGGTATTCTGTGTTCTAGGACTGCAAATATTTACATCAGCGGGTCAAGATTTTTATTTATCATTATGCAAGTGGATTACACAAGTACAGCAAAATTAAGTAGCAGCCTCAGTAATGATATAACACAAACTACTATACTCTACTGCCACTCAACGTTC